TTTCATATTTACAATTACATTATGTACACCAGTTTAATTATTAAACAATGATTAATTCATGACCAAGAGATATACAACAAAACACATTTCATTTGTAACTTTGTCACTAAGGCCAATCTGAAAGTTAATATTGTTTATCACCAACCATTTTCAAAATAACAGTGTGGGATTTTTCATTATTCATTCTTTTTTACCAATCAAATTGTGCTTGATAATTCATTGCAGGCCAGTAGTAACTCTGGCAAAATTGAGACAAATTGATAAAACAATTTGAGTTGAGATTGCTATATACGATGCTACAAAACTTTAATCAGGCAACCAATCAGAGGTTTATTGCATTTTTTTAAATAAATAGCAAAATTTTCCAGCTAAATTCCATGCAGGAGACAACAATATCAAATACGATATCGATTTTCATTTGCTCTAAATTCCTCACAGCTCAACTTTAGTTCTTATTCAAATGTACTTTACTGCACATCCCTCTGTCAATATGTACAGTATACAATTATTACCTGTATAATATGAGATAAATCACTATATTAAATATTACAGTATGATTTATTATAAGGTTTGTTGTCATCTTCATAGCATGTTGTCATCTCCATAGCATTCAGTAGAAGAAACCGTAGAAAATCTGGAAAGTGATCTTTGTACCAGATCACCGGTTTTTGGTACAGGTTTCATTGCAATTGATGGTGCAATGGTTTTGGGGTGATCACTTGACATCTCATTTTTTCTTAAAACTGTTTTTTCATCATCTACCCTCTTTTTCATGATTCTGGATACAAGAGTGGGCCAAAAGTCATACGATTTCTCCTCTTTAACAACTTGGACTCTCCAATTTTTTGACCTCTTGCTGTAAACCTTGTGGTGTTTTAGGCTGCCACTCAAACTTAGAGAGGGATTCCTGTCCAAATTGTTGTTGTGATCGATCACAGCCACTAGGGTCCTTGCCAAATAAGCTTCATTCCTATGAAGGATAGCAAATATATAAGAGTATTAGAATATACAGTAGAATGAAAGATGACATGAGTACATGCATCCATTGTATTTTGCCAGGCAAGTTTACTTGGAATGGATAAATTTTTTAATCCATTGAGTGCCAGCACCCTCCCTTTTTCTCCATTTGGCATTAGACAGAGTAAATAATCTGATATTCAATACATAGTAAAATTATAAAGTGGGGTATTTCAGGGTACAAAATAGTCGCATTGCACCCCGATGCACCCTACTTTAGTATTGTACTCTGTCCAACGCCAGACGATTTTACTCGTCAAGGGGAGAGTGCTGGCGCTTAATGGGTTAAGTTAAATAACTTTTTCTTTAGATGCTTCAAAAAACATAAAATAAAGTGCTCATACTCACTGAAAACTAACTCTTTTTGGTGCATACTTCAATAACATAGAATTGAAGTTTTCCAGTTTGCTGGTGTGCCTAAAACATAAATAGTTTTAGCTTATACATCGCGGGTACAATACAATGGGGGTGGGGCACTGGTACAATAGGCATGTTTCTATTGTATTATATAGTACTATTGCTCCTGAGCACAGCAATGAAACAATCATTTACCTGAATGTCACATACTGATCCAATGTCTTCAGAAACCTGGGATCGGTAACAATCTTCCTTATTGCGTCAAGGGCTTTTGAGTTTTTGTTCAGAATGGGCTTTTCCTTTTCCGTTTCTACCAATGGGCCATGGTTACACTCACCATCTGCCCATTCATGCTCTCCAGCCACATGGTGTAATACTCCAAACCAATTGTCCTAAAGCAAATGTCAGAACATTAATCCAGAACACGGTACTGGAAAAATTCAGCAAAACAGTATTTTTTGGCAGAGAGACTTCAATATACTTCACCATCGATCAAAAAATTTTCCTACAAAATATATATTGCAATGTTTGCTGATGTTATTGACTGACCACCTATGTCAAATGTATCTCTAATCAACAAACATGTTTACAGAAGAAAATGTCTTCCAGTTTGCAGGGGTATTTTGGGGGGGGGGGGGGAGTGTCCCCCAAAAACATCACAAATCCCCCCTCCCAGGAAAAATGTGAGCATAGGAAATGACGTCTGGGTTTGTAGGAAGGGAGAATCCCCCTCCCTCAAATAAAAAACCCTGAAATTGTTTTTTGGGGGGTGCTCCCACATACCCCCCAGCCTTCATACCCCCTCCAGCTTTCGTGAGCTCGCCGTGTGAGGACGTGTTTTTTGAGCTCTGTTAAATGTTGTTGTATATCAATTATGTCTGACCTAAAATCACTCAGGAAAGAAAACCAAGACTTGAAGACTCAAGTAGAGTCATTAATGAAAGAATTCCAGAAGATAAGCGGCCAAATCGATACGAATTCGAAGAAGAAAGTCAATACAAAATCAAAGCAGAATGTTGACCAAGGGCAAGGCGAGAAAGAAAAGGCGATTGAATTTCTAAGCGACCAATATGATGATTTACTTTCATATAATCTTTCATATAATAGCAAGATGAAGAAAGATCTTGATCACCCAATTAAACGAAATTAGTATAAAAGAATTGAGAAAGTTCTCGATAGTTTCGAAGCCTACAGTTATCAGTACAATGCGAAAATTATCGGCGTACCGGAGATCAATACAAAAAGAATCGTCAATAGAAACCACTAAGCTATGTGTTGACCTGTTTAATGCAATGGGGGCTAACGTTTCTGCCCAGGATATTGACATTGCTCACCGCGGTTCGATCTTCTAGCTCAAACGAAGGAAAGCCGAAGCCTATTATATGTTTGTTAGGCGTTTATCAAAAGAATCTGTGATGAAACTGAGAAAGGAAGCAGGCAAAATTAATTCTTCTGACTTTGGTTTCAATGCTACTCTAGAGATTAAAATTGCTATATTTGATCATCTTACATTGAAAGCTCAGAAACTCCTGTATGAAGCAAAAAAATTCAAAGCAAGCCATCGATTTGCATACTGTTGGACCAAGAACAATCAAGTATATCTTCGCGAACATGAGAATTCCCACACCTATAAGATTTCTGACCTTCAGGATTTAAGAAGGTTAGAGTCATCTACGAGTGCAGCACAGGATCAAGAAGCGATTGTGGCCAAATAAGTTAAGTACATTTAAGCCTTTGCTCTGGCTTAGGCTAAAAAAATGTGTGTTTTCGTTGTGTGTATAATTTATAAATGGCAGATATTGACGAACAAAGTAGGAATAATATTCTTAGTTACTTTTCTCTTCTTCCTTTCCATCTCGTATATAATTTAGATGAACAGAATCATTCGCTATACCACTGCTGGTTTATCTAGTGAGTTGCCCTCATAAAATACTCTTGATCATTTACCAAGCCTATTTGACCTTGATGTTTTTAAATTGAATACAAGTTTTGATAATGATTTCAACCCAGATCAAAATTTACATAATAATATAGCAAAATACGATTGTCGATATTTTTCACCACACAGTTTTGATTTGCAAGTAGCAAAAATAACTAATAAGAAAGCAGCGCTATCGTTCCTACATAATGTTAGAAGCTTAAAAAAGAACCTGGAGAATTTGCAAAACCATCTTCTCAGCGAATTTAATTTTCAATTTAATATCATAGGAGTATCTGAAACGCGAATTGTAGACCAAAAGCTTTTAGACTTTAATCCTGATATTCCTGGTTATAGATTTGAATATGTTCCTACCCCCTTATCGGCAGGTGGTGTTGGGATGTATATTATGAATAGTATAAACTATCGCATAATTGAGAAGATTTCAAACATCTATTTTCAAGCTTTGTGGGTAGAATTTACTACGGCACGTAATCAGAGCTTTGTTTGTGGTGTTGTTTATAGACAACATAACGATCCAACCAAATTCTTAGATTATTTAAGTGAAACTTTATATAACTTTAATCAATCCTCTAAAACTGTTTGCATAATGGGTGATTTCAATATTGATCTACTTAAGTATGATACATGCACTTATAGTAAGGAATTTTTGCACTACTTGTACAGCTCTGCTTTCTTCCCAACAATTTCCAAACCCACTAGAATTTATGGGGAATCCGCAACTCTCATTGATAATATTATTTTAAATAAGCCAGAATACGATTTAGTGACGGGAAATATCGTATCCGATATAAGTGATCATTATACCCAAGTATGTCTTTTAAATAATTGTGAAGTCGAATATTGTGCAAGACAAAAGAAGAACAGAGATTATTCTAAATTTAACCAGAAGGAATTTTTGTCTGAGGCCCAGCCTATTGTCGAAATCGTTTTAGTGCATAATTCATCAACTGATGTCATACCTT